ACTCTACAAACCAAGTAGGAGAGGATCAAGTGCCAGAATAAATATTGCAAAAATCATGTGCATATTTCGTACGTAGTGGGGATAACACAAAAGACAACAATTTAAAAACTACATTTCAAGGATAAATTTGCTACATTGCTAGGCAGGAAAACGTTCAAATAACCCATACAAAAAAGATAGAAAATGGAAAGAAAAAAGTCTCCTGCTCTAGAGGGTTTTATGAGAAACTAGGTGAGAGGCAAAATGAGAAAGAAAATAAAGAAGTTAAAAAGGAAATTTGGGAGAGGAAAATGAGAAAATGCAATTCAGCATTTTTCAGTTTGACTGCCTTCAAACCAAAAGTGGAATGATTCCTTGTCCCCAGATAATTGAAACAAGGAGGGACTGGAAGAATCAGGGCTACCTGTACAAATCTGTGATGCATACCCACCAGGCCTTACCACGTGTATGGCATCCTAAGAGTGATTTAGATCTGTTACCATGTGATTTTGAAAATTAGTTTTTTTTTCAAAGTTTGTTTTATTTTTGATGATTATTGTATTATTATTACTATTATTATTACTCTTATTATCATTATCATTATTATTATTATTTTGGTTCTTTGGATTGAAACCATGTCTCTTTGTGCTACAAAAATGAGTTCCACTCCTGTGCTAAATTCTTATATGTAATTTTCTGATCAGCCAGAACATTAAAAAAAAAAAATATGTGAAATCATGTCTGTATGTGTTATGGCAGACTCATTTTTAAACTATAATTTCTTATGGAATTTATTCCTAAAATATTAAGACTGTTACTAATGTGTTTATATGACAGTCTTTTGAGTCCTGTCAATTTTTCCTGCTCTCGGATCACAGATTGCTGTGGATGACCATATCGATCTTTATGCTTTCTCATATTTTTTTAGATGCAGAACCTGTATCTTCATCCAATGGTAAAAAGGGAAAGGTAATGTCCACTAAAACAGAGGAAGCAGGATTAGAAGATGTGCCACAGTCCCAGATGGGTATGAAAAAACAATCATGTTCATATTACCTGTTATTCTAA